CAACTTTTCGTTTCGTAGCTGACACGGTACAACACTTTTCTTTCGCTTACTTCACACGGCCAGTCATTTTGTTTACAAAGAAATGGTGTGCTATGCGCATGCGCTAATAGAGGGAAATCCCTGAACAAAACGTTGGTCAGACAGGTAGAAATACCGATGATTTTCTTAGATTTAATCATTTTTATGAATCTATTTCAGCCAAATCCGATCGTTATTTTCCATAAGGAGTTTCATTTGATATGTTTATGTAGTATTTGAAAAAAAGGCAAAAAATAAAGTAACTTCAACGTGATGCCCCTTTAAGAAATGAATGAGTTTACAATATTATGAGTTACCTCCCATTGAATAATCAGCACATGTACAGTTTTCCTATGGCTAAATCATGATATGTGAGTATTGTATTGGATTAATTGGTTCATAATGTACATTTATTTTATACTTATAACCATATGCATGATAATTCTGCCATATATCTTTTTGAAAGAAATTGCTGGGTTTTTTTTAAATAATGATATTATGTTGAACTTAACATTGTTGTTAGAGACTTTCGGAGTTTCATATCGTCATTATCCTAATTGTCAATCGATAGTGTTTAGTTCATAAAAATAAATTGTGTTTGTTTATATTTATTTTAGCACCGTCCAAGCCAGATGAAACAGAAAATGGCAAAAATGAAATTTTGGAAGAAAACAACATCAACAGGAGAAAAATATGAAATACGATCAGAGGCCGAAGCCTAGAGGTCATGTGACAAGGAAGACAGCCAATCAGAGACTTGAGAACTTCAACATTCACAGCATCTATATTTTGTCCTATTCAGACACATTTACAATGTAATACCTGCGGTTTTTGTGGACAGTTATATATCATAATCTTACAATCCTTTTAAGCCTGGGGTCAAAAGGTCCAAGTAGTTTGGAAAATATATATTGACAAAAAATCATAAATAGCATTGATGCCAACCAATTAATGAAGAGTTTATTGTGTTGGGCTTAGAGTAATGACACTGTCTGCTATAAAAGCTGTCATTAACCAGACAGGTAATGCGATCTGTAGCACTGCGAATCAGGAATACACTCAGTGGAATGGTTATGATCTATAACAAACACAAACACCTGGGTCCTGGGATTTAGGTTTGGTTAGCTTAATGTCTCTCTATGAAAGATCTTTTGTCAATGTCCACATGAAATAATGAAGAACTTAGAAGTTCAAAATTGCTACAGTGTGGAATGTTGTTATTGTTCAGGATTCACAATGTATCGTTGACTAAAAGATGAAAGATCAGTTGAGTCATGAACAGATTTGTTTATTTATGAGTAAGTTCACCATGCAGTGAAGATTTTCTGTATTGATCGTTAAGCTAACCATACAGTTAAATCCTAAGCCCACAAGTACTGTAACATGATTTAATGTCACTGTGAATTGATTCAGGATTTTTTTTTTTGGAACAAGAAAAAATTCCATCCAAGGATTGTGATATAAAACAAGTAATCCCTTGTGTCCACGTGTAAGACATTATGGAAGATTGTGTTTTGTTTTTTTGGTAAGCAAGTGTCCTACATTCATGTCACATGTTGTTTGTCAGTTTATACCGCTGATCTACATTTGCATGCAGAATACTTGCAAGAGTTGTCTGCAGTGTGCTTGTTAGCACGTTACAACCCCACATATGCGTTACTCTAAATCCGTACGGTACATGCACTTTGTAACTCTATGCATTTGCCAATTTTTTAATTGAACTCGCAATGTATCTTATTTGTAATTTACATTTTATCCAGTCACAGATACAAATTTAAATATAGCAATGTCTTTAATTAGATTTTTAACCAGTGACAGGCATGAACGCCTCTATTTTACATGGGAAAGCAATCTCTTAAGCTGCTCATTATAGCACATGTTCACGGAGTATCTAGTAGTTAAGAGTCGTTTCAGGGATGGTATCATAAAATGTATTCTGCAGTTGAAAAATATCCATGTTTAAATAAATGGGGACTTATGTGTCAGGGACAAGTCTTATTACATAGAGAAATAGAGACATCTTCGGAATTTATTGGTCACTAAGCTCGTAAAAAGTTACAATTTATTTAACATTCGGAGGGATCAATGTGACATTTCCCTCAAGCAATGCACAGTAATTCCATCACACACATCTTTTGTGTTGCATTTGATTTTGATATTAATTACTGTTAAATTAAACAAAAGACCTATGTGCCTTCCATGCATTGATAGGTAACAAGTAAATCGTAAATTTTTCTCCGAGTTCAGTGTTTTAAATCATGATCACAACATCAACACTAGAAATGTACGGGATTATTTAGAGACACCTGTTTTGTAGTAATGTATATACATATAAATATACATATATATTTATAAATGACACATGCATGAGAGTGTGGGTGTACTTCGTTGTTTTATTGAATCTTCAGAATAAGCGAATTGCTTACATATCGGAGGGGAGAATTAAATCGTGTGACACCTGTCTGTGTGGCAATGTCACATGTCCAGTTTATGGTTATGTTCATGGTATGACACCTATAAAACTTTTCTGCATGTAACCTGATTATCTCCCCTTTCTATGGTCCTGTCTGGTAATGCCCATAACTCAAAGCTATCTGTGATGATCTGAGGATGGTCTAATAGAAATGATATGATAGATTTCATTTATCCATTATCAAATTTCACAGAACGAAAATATTTTCTGAAAATTGTAATTTTCTGTAAACTCCATCTCTGTGTACCGTTGGCCATTTAGGTGCCAGATTTTACATTCTTATCATTGAAAGTATTTGTCAACGGAAAAAAGTGATCTAAGAAAAAATATGATCTAAATTTTGTTTTCAATAATATATTTTTTTCAAGCTGGAAAAATTGTGATTTACAAAAGATCGTTTTCTTTGTATAAAATTTAAGATTGGCTGTATATCTGTGATAAAATACAAACAATCATACCTTAAAAATTACATTGAACTTGAAGTCTGGAAACTTTGAAGGCTTGAGAAAGGCATAACAAGGGTCCACTGAGTATAAATGTATTTCAAAGAGTGTGCGTTAGTATGTGATCATTATATAAAGGTCTGTAGGACCAGGCTAGAGGACAGCAAAGGTGCTGGACAAGTTTACTGGTGTTCCTTGGTTGGATAATTAAGTCTAGTTTTGTGTCTCATGGGGGACCAGATATAGGAGAGGTTTCATGTTAAGCCTTGTCGAGGACCAGACATTGAAGAGGTTTCATGGTGTGTCTCATCGAGGACCAGACATTGGAGAGGTTTTGTGGTGTGTCTCATCAAGAACCAGATGTTGGACATGTAAAATGGTGTGTCTCGATGAATATCAGACATTTGACAAGTTTTGTGGTGTGTCTCGTTAAGGACAAGACGTTGGGAGAGGTTTAGTCATGTGTCTCATTGAGGCCTAGACTTTGGAGAGGTTTTGTGGTGTGTCCCATTGAGGACCAGACGTTGGGAGAGTTTTTTTGGTGTTTCATCGAGGACCAGATGTTGGAGAGGTTTAGTCATATGTCTCGTCAAGGACCAGACATGGGAGAAGTTTTGTGGTGTGTCTGGTCAACGACCAGACGTTGGAGAGGTTTAGTTATGTGTCTCGTTGAGACCCAGACTTTTGAGAGGTTTTGTGGTGTGTCTCGTCGACGACCAGACGTTGGAGAGGTTTAGTTATGTGTCTCGTTGAGACCCAGACTTTTGAGAGGTTTTGTGGCGTGTCTCGTCGACGACCAGACGTTGGAGAGGGTTAGTTATGTGTCTCGTTGTGGCCCAGACTTTGTAGAGGTTTTGTGGTGTGTCTCGTCGACGACCCGACGTTGGAGAGGTTTAGTTATGTGTCTCGTTGTGACCCAGACTTTGGAGAGGTTTTGTGGTGTGTCTCGTCGACGACCGGACGTTGGAGAGGTTTAGTTATGTGTCTCGTTGTGGCCCAGACTTCGGAGGGAGAGGTTTAGTGGTGTACAACGTCACTGTGATATCATTGTTTGTAGATGTATGGTTGTTATTATTTGTACAGTATCTAAAATGATTTATGTGTTACCATGAGTTACGTTAGAGCGTGAATCAGTTTTAACTATCCCAGATGACTAACAATAAGTTAAATTAACTTAAATTAGCATACAAGGGAGGACCCAACGAATGGCAGAAATACTCAATGCTGAAGGAGAGATTACGTAGAGTTTGATTATTCTTTTTGTTTTTAAAATGGCAATTTTGTAAGTATCAGGTAGATTAAAAAGCAGATAAAGATTATTACCAAAGTATTGAGATGAATATATTCGCTAGAATATACAGGTAATTTTACCACCGAGTATTATTTTTTTTATACTGAAATCTCGATTCACTGACATTGTTACTTTTTACGTCAAATTTCTTTTAGATTTTTAACAGAAGTGCTTGCAAAGTTATTTCGTGTTTTCGAATAATTAATTGTCACATTACAAATGTATGTAGAATGAGGGCTTGTTTATATGCCTGTTGAACCAAATGAAAAGGTTTGAGAGAAAATTTTCACCTCAAGAAATCTGCAACAAATTTCAAAAGTGTCCTATATATTACCATGGCGACAATGTTACTATGGCTACAAGAATCATTCCTGTAGCTGCAATTGAATGTAGGTTCACCATTTTAGTAGAAGTGGTTATGAATACCGAAATTATCTACATTTTTATGCCTAAATATTTTCTTCATTTTTTCTGTGAATTGAATCTCCACATTGAATCAAATTTGTCTTTTTTTAATTGTATTTCTCAATTTGCATAATACATATATACATCATATTATGGTACTATTGTCTGAATTGTGCAATTTCAGTAACATGTGACATTTAAGAAATCTCGAATTTGTTTCAACTGTTTTTATTAGCACAGCATCAAATTTACTCAGCCCCTATTTTACCTGTTTTGTTTGTGGTGTGATCTGTTTTACATGAATTTATGACCTATTTGCTAACCCCTGTTCGTGACGACCTCTCACCTTTGACCCCTTTGTTTGACTTTTGTCAGGTAAATGATGTACATTTCACTACAAGAAATATTTATGAATCACCAAGGTAAACATTTTTGTTTCCTATTTTTTCTGCAATTTTGTTTATTGTATTTTATTTTATATTCAATTCAAAAGTATACATATCAGAATTTCAGAGGCACTGTTACTGTCATTACACCAGCACTGATGTCAGGAGTGTACCCAAGGTTCACAGACTGACAAACTGTACCAGCACTGATGTCAGGAGTGTACCTGTGGTTCACGGGCTGACATACTGTACCATCACTGATGTCAGGAGTGTACCCAAGGTTCACAGACTGACAAACTGTACCAGCACTGATGTCAGGAGTGTACCCAAGGTTCACAGACTGACAAACTGTACCAGTACTGATGTCAGGAGTGTACCTGTGGTTCACGGGCTGACATACTGTACCATCACTGATGTCAGAAGTGTACCAAACGTTTATGGACTGACATACTGTACCAGCACTGATGTCAGGAGTGTACCTGTGGTTCACTGGCTGACATACTGTACCAGTATTGATGCCAGAAGTGTACCAAACGTTTATGAGCTGACATACTGTACCAGCACTGATGTCAGGAGTGTACCTGTGGTTTACTGGCTGACATACTGTACCAGTATTGATGCCAGAAGTGTACCAAACGTTTATGAGCTGACATACTGTACCAGCACTGATGATAGAAGTGTACATGTGGTTCATAGGCTGACATTCTCTACCATCACTGATGTCAGAAGTGTACCAAACATTTATGAGCTGACATACTGTACCATCACTGATGTCAGAAGTGTACCAAACGTTTATGGGCTGAACATATTGACCAGTACTGATGTCAGGAGTGAACCCAGGGTTCACGGGCTGACATACTGTACCACAAGAATTTACTTGCATTTAAACTTTTTGAACTTTGTCAGATTGTGTCAGATCGTGTCAGATTGAGACTTTTTAAATCTGTCTTAACGTTTAACATTTTGAAAATTTTCATATATATTATTCATACAGATAGTGAAGATTGTACTTCAAATCATTGAACAAATCAAATACAAAATGCCAGAGTATCACTATTCTTATATTCTATTTCAGCGAAGAACCATTATCGACATATTGCCACAACCTATTAACCCTTACAGAAGTAGAATGGTCTTTTCTCCCACCTCTATAGTGTGAAAGATTCTTGTAACCCATGTGAGGCAACTCTAGCCTACATAGGTCACCCAGTGACCTCTAGCTCTGGAAATATATCATTCTAATTAATTCTGTCTGATCGGTATGTTTTTCCAGTTGTCCAGTATTTTGTTAGCTGATGATCTAAAATGTGACCTCATTTTAATCAACAGGTGATGTATTTATCAGAGTTTGATATGCAGTAGAAAATCTAGCGACAAAAGTCAATCGATATCTGAAATGACGTTGTGGGAACAAATAGCTTTTAAAACAAGCTTTTGTCGACTTCTTTCAAGTATACTTTCACATTACCATACTTTGTTCTGCTCTTTTCAATTGTAGGTTAATGAGTATTTTATCTAGAAGACCTTCTGTACTGTACACCTGCATCAGTAATGTAAATATTGATTTAAACCAAAATAGAGGTGGGAGAAACAAATCCATCATAATACAAGCTAGGGGAGATAAAAGTACCCTCGGGAAAAGAATTTAGTTTGTCAAGGTTTTGACTTAAAATTCTACACAGGAGAGTCGATTTTCCATATGCACCATACATAATGGTTCACTATATACATTTCTTATTAGAGCTGTCTGGACATTTTTTATGAAACAAAAAATTGAATTATTTTGAAAAAAAAAATCATAGTTCAACGGAGATAACTCTCCTACAAATGTTGCAGACAGTTTTGGTGTACATCATAAGTAACTGTGTCTCGGAGGCCATGAACAACATTAATCTCAGGCTACGATGTGAATCGTGGTGTGCATGGGTTGTATATAGTAATTCCATCATATTTATCATCAGTGTTGGGTGTGTATTTCATCAGATGTTATTTTTATAATGTGTTGGCTATATTTCAATTCATCTTTTCAAGTACATGTGTATACAGTTCGTTAAAGTTTGTTACTTCATGCTTCAGGTAATACTTATTATCATCTGCAGGTCTTTACTTTTCATGCTACATATTAATGAAACTTTATGTCTGTTTTCAGGTGTTAACAGAAATTTGTTTTCCGTGTAAATTACTGTATTTGCCATGTTGAATACCTGTCTCCCCAATAAGTCTCTCCTCCCCATCCCCATGTGATGGAAGTATGTTACACTGTAACACTAGAACTATTCAGAGTAATAGAACAGTTGCTGAGAAGAAGGTTATGTCAATGATATTTAGCAGAAAATGAAAGTTTTCTAGTTTTGAAAGCACCCTACTGTTGGCAAAGACATAATTTGTTACAAAACTTAGATATTTAATATGGTTAATACGGTAATCTATATTTCAGTTTATCATTATGTGCAGTTTCATTCAGACATACTTATGTATGAGGTATTCCGTATTTGCGTATTGCAGAGTTATCTTCTCTTGGGAGCAGGTATTAATCGTTACGTCATTGGTCTGTGTGAGAAAATAACGTTGTTTTCTCAAAAATTGATGACGTTATTCTCATAAACAAGTGACGAAACAATCAATACCTGCTCCCAAGAGAAGATAACTCTGTAATACGCAAAGACGGAATTTATAAGGTATTGAATAGTGATTGTTTTTTCTAATACATTTGTACAGGTAGAATTACAAATTCATTGTTCTCAAAATTTAACAGTTTTACAGCATCATAGACTTTTTCGTGTCTGAGACGCTGCAAGGTAAAATGGACATGGAAAATAATGCTTCTGTTAACACATGAAACATGTGGTCTAGTTTTAATGCATATGTACACCATCTAAAATGTATACTACTAACAGCACTGTTATTTCTTTCACTTGTTTTAACAAGGCATATGAATCTACTTAAGAAAAATCAAATCTCCAACACTATGTTTGAGAGAAATCAAAAGACATGTATAAAATGAAGTATAGAATTAAATGGGAGTTTTTAACTGATGTCATTTACATTTTTAATGATATATTGCTTTGGATTTAATTTTTGTTTTAAATTGTTCATGAATTGTAATAATTTTAAGAAAATCTTCACTAATGACAAATTGGTATGGTCTGATTCATATCATACTTAAATATCACTGACCATTTCAATCTGTTGAACTACACTTGTGTGAATTTTTTATCTAAAATGTTTGTGTGTTGCATATACAATTCTCTGGACTTTCTACTTAATGAATGAATTAAATATAGACAGAATTATTCACAGGTACCTGGTAACTGAATTTATGTGATGGTTTTGACAGTTATTTTACAATTTCTGGTAATTTGTGTGTATGTGGTGTGGTGATGGAGGGTTCCATAGATTTCTATTTATCTTCAGACTGTAGATACAAAGTTCTGATAAGTAATTGGTACAAGAAATATTTTGAGTTTTCACAAAACTAAGTACATAAAAGGACCGTATTCATCATTCTCATGCATAACTTCTGAGTCTATACTCGAGTCTAACTGAAGTGAGAGAATACTTTTTGAAACATGGACCTAAACAAGTAAGTCCCTTTTTAATGTTAGTGTTATAATTCTAGGTCCCTTCTCAAGGAATGAAGGAGTAACAAAAAAGATGGTTAGACTATGTCTCTTTGAGTTTGAGAATGGGCACTGTTTTAAGAATACAGGCCTAAGTGTATACAGTGTGTACCACGTGCGAAATGGGATGAAAAGAATTTTTTTATTTTTACATTTGAAAAAAACCCATTGTAGTATTAGTTAAATCAGCACATCCCGAAAAGGGAAAATAATGATAAAATACTCATCATCTAAAACTTGGAATCTCAGCACAAAAAAGTTCTACCAGTTTTAGACCGGACTAGTGGAACCTCTGCTATCATTTTATCAAATTACAAATCATTATATAGACAGTAGCAATAAGTATTTTGTACGATTCCTGGTAGATAATTAACTAAAGCTTGATAAGAACTTTCCCTGCTACAGGTCTCTGCTCTTTCTTAACAGTGTGGAACAATTCTTTACCATTAGATTCCAGTATCTTTATTTGGGATAGAGTTATTGCCCTTTGATTGCCGTAAACGACAAGTATGAAATTAAAGCGCGGAAGTTTTATCAGGGATAAATAAATAATCAAATACACTTATATAAATTAATTTCGCAGGTAAATCGATCTAAATCCTTTGTATTTACAATATTATGAATGTAATTGTCACTTTCTAAGTTCTGGCAGGATACCAGTCGGTTGTCCTTAGGCATGATGCTAGCCAGTTTGTCCCGTTTGCTTGGCAACATTCAGTTGGCAACTGTCGATATATGATAACTGTCGTTTTGACTGTTGGTATGGTTACTTTCACTTCGTCTGTTGATATAGCAACAGCCACTTTGTCTGTTACTCAGGTGAAATACAGCCACTTTGTCTGTTTGTAGGTTTCTGAATCAGCTCCTTACTGAGTAATAGTCGTGCACTCCTTTGGAGAGGCGAGTTGCTTAAAGTGCTGTGATGTCTTTCCCAACACAAGTTAGGACACAGTGAAAGCAATCTAATTAAAATTATATCTTCACATCGCTCCCGTTTACTGATATAAAGCGACATATCAGTAAACGGGAGCGATGTGAAGATATAATTTTAATTAGATTGCAGTGAAAGAGGTCGTTTGTTCTTTTTACAATATTGGTTATTATTCATGTTAAGCAGTAATTGTTATATATATGGTGATGTTGATAGCTCAAATAACAGGAGGATATCATACAGAAACGTACCCAGATTATGGTTGATTGATTGCAATAACTTTTGAATAACTTTTTATTTAGGTTGAAAACTTGAAAACACATCAAGTTTGCTTTTGTCAGAATAAAAATATTTTCAAATGATCTATATCAAATCATTCATGTTGTATATCCTAGAAAAGTATAATTATCAACAGTGTAAAAGAGTGAAAGATCTTGTCTGAACAATCGTCTAGGTATAAAGAAACAGTCGTCTCGGAAAGTAGTTTTACAGGTAAGATGACTTTTATAGGTCTATCTGTATCATACGTGAAAAAATGACTATTTTATGTTAATGTCAGAGCAAACAAATTCACCTCAAACCGAGGATAACAAAATGCTTGCTATAGACCAAACAAATTTCTAAAAATGAACATTTACACAAAATCTTGGTTAATTTGTTGTAAATTTCTGCCACAAATGAAACTACTATGTTCTATTTGTATTTATTTGACCTGTTACAAAGGCAGCCTGTTAATGGCGAACGAAGTTATAATTTTATTATTTTATTAAATTTCTCTCATCAGATTTTGAAATGACATTACAGAATACGAAATTTGATATGTTATTAACTTATTTCTTTAACGATATCTATGCACAATTTATTACTTCAGATTTTGTTTTATATTACTTATGCAGTCTTTTCCTTTCCTATTTTTTGCACTTTCATCGACATTTTCATCGTTATCATCTTCGTGAGTTGTACAGATCATTGTAAAATTGTTTCAGAAATAAACAAATCCTATCTTTTAACTTTGTGTCATTGTTGTTTTGTTGTCACCTCAAATTAAAAAAACCCACCAGGTTACTTGAAGTACCGCCAATATATATATGAAAAATTTAATTAATCATAACCATTAATATGTCACTTCAATAAACCACAAACAATATATGAAAATTGATAGTTGTAACATCTCGCAATCATAAATATGATCGAAGTACGATAGTTTAAAGCTTATAGACTCCTAACTATTACTCTTGGGTTCGGCAAAATTCCTGAACATATTTGCCTTTGAATACATATTTAATCTCTCGACACAAAATATTATGTCTGAGAATCGCGCAATATGATGGGAGTTGTTAAACATCCGGGCAATCGCATGAAGCCAAACACTGCGAAAAAGTCTCCCATTAGATACACTGGCAAGACACTGTAAGATGCACTACCAAGAAAACTCCTAGAGGCATACCGTTACACAGAGAACATCTTCTTTATTAAAGGAAACAATAAGAAGTCACGGGGACCTGGACCTCTTGTGAACAAGGTTGGTGGTCAATATGTACTACCTCCTTTAGCTTCAAACACGCCTGTACAGTATGGCTTTTGTTGACAATGCCGTGAATTTGCTGGATGGTATTTGACCCTTTTCTTTGACCGTTTTTCATGTAGAATATTTTGACAGGCTTTATAACTTTGTCACTGTAAAAGTTTGCAGTGACAAAGATTTCCCTTCCTTTCATGATATCTGAACCAAAGACAAGATGGCATACAAAACTATCTTGGCGCCTTTTATGTCTTTGAATCACTGTCCTTTCTTTATTTCTCGACAACCATTGCTTATTATTTATGCGCCTCTGGGGTTCAAAGCAAAAGACTAATGTCTCATTCCCTGTAAGTAGCTCAGAAAGCTTTCTTCAGTCGTAATTACCGTACCTTTTCAATATGTTTTTGGCTTGTTTCAAACGTTTGTCTTTTTGTTCAGATGTCGGCAAAGGAGGGATCCATCGGGCACAAAGCTTTTCCAATTTCAAGCACTTGGTCAGAATGTGATATGTACAGCCCTCTGAAATGCCAACCATACGAGCTATCTAAGAAACAGTATAACGACCATCGGTCTTAATTATTGCTCTCACAGCATCAATATCTTTGATCCTGCGACAACTGGCCTGCCTTGTCATGTGTCCTTTTGATGTCAACTTTACTATTCTTGAATTTTTATTCAACCACCTGAAAACAGTTCTCAATGCGACGTTAGAGGTTCCTTCTAAGCTGCACAGCTCTTCGTGTATCTGTTTTGGCGGTATCTGTAACACATGAAAACTAGTTTCTAGTTACTAGTGCATACGATTCAACAATCAATAACAATGGCGAAACTTTCACGTGCATTGCTCTGTAAATGCTTTTGCAGCCTGCAAAGGCGCTAAACTATTTTGACTGCCCGTTCGTATATGAGCTGTGTGGTGACCGAATTTATTGAATAGCCCTCGTAGTTGAATTCTCAGTCTTTTGGTCATACTTATTTCTGTACTATAGAAATGACGTTTGAGAATAGTTGATTTCTAATGCTAAACTACATACTGACGTCACATTTTATATAGTCTGAGATAAAGGATGCTGTTAACAAATAAAATACATATCTTAAAAGAGACTATTTGGACAAGGTAATAGGGAACTGCTTACAGAAACTCTCCTATTTTAAGATGTACTGACTGAGACGTTGCGTCCGAACTCATTCTTTAATGGACGTTGCCAATCATACATCTGCAGGATCTTTTCCTTAACAGTTGTA